CACTGGTGAAAAACAAGGCTCCAGGAACTGACGGAATACCTGTTGAGATGTTTCAACAAACAGATGGAATGCTGGAAGTACTCACTTGTCTATGCCAAGACATTTGGAAGACAGCTACCTAGCCAACCAACTGGAAGAGATCTATATTTATGCCTATTCCCAAGAAAGGTGATCCAACTGAATGCAGAAATTATCAAACAATATCATTAATATCACATGCAAGTAAAATTTTGCTGAAGATCATTCAAAAGTGGCTGCAGCAGTATATCAACAGGGAACTGCCAGAAATTCAAGATGGATTCAGAAGAGGACGCAGAACCAGGGCTATCTCTCATTGCTGATGTCAGATGGATCTTGGCTGAAAGCAGAGAATACCAGAAAGATGTTTGTCTGTGTTTAGTTGACTATGCAAAGGTGTTTGGCTGTGTGATTATAACAAATTATGGATAACACTGCGCAGAATGGGAATTCCAGAGCACTTAATTATGCTCATGAAGAACCCGTACATAGATCAAGAGGCAGTCGTTTGAACAGAACAAGGAGATACTGCACGGTTTAAAGTCAGGAAAGGTGTGTGTCAGGCTTGTATCCCTTCACCATACCTATTCAATCTGTATGCTGAGCAAATAATCTGAGAAGCTGGGCTATATGAAGAAGAACAGGGCATCAGGACTGGAGGAAGACTCAGTAACAACCTGCGTGGTGCAGATGACACAACCTTGCTTGCTGGAAGTGAAGAGGACTTGAAGTACTTACTGATGAAGATAAAAGATCACAGCCTTCAGTAGGGATTACACTTCAACATAAAGAAAACAAAAATCCTCACAACTGGACCAATAAGCAACATCATGATAAATCGGGAAAATACTGAAGTTGTCAAGGATTTCATTTTACTTGGATCCACAATCAACACCCATGGAAGCAGCAGTCAAGAAATCAAAAGACGAATTGCATTGGGCAGATCTGCTGCAAAAGACCTCTTTAAAGTGTTGAAAAGCAAAGATGTCACCTTGAAGACTAAGTTGCGCCTGACCCGAGCCACGGTGTTTTCAATTGCATCACGTGCATGCGAAAGCTGGACGATGAATAAGGAAGACAGAAGAAAAACTGACGCCTTTGAATTGTGGTGTTGGCGAAGGATATTGAATATACCATGGACTGCCAGAAGAACAAACAAATCTGTCTTGGAAGAAGTACAACCAGAATGCTCCTTCGAAGCAAGGATGGCGAGACTACGTCTTACCTACTTTGAACACGTTATCAGGAGGAATCAGTCCCTGGAGAAGGACATCATGCTTGGTAAAGTAGAGGGTCAGCAAAAAAGAAAAGACCCTCAATGAGACGGACTGACACAGTGGCTGCAACAATGGGCTTAAGCATAACAATGATTGAGGATGGCGCAGAACCGGGCAGTGTTTCGTTCTGTGGTGCGTGGGGTCGCCATGAGTCAGAACCGACTTGACAGCACCTAACAACCACCACGTGAATATGAAATGACTACGAAACCCTATGAACCACAATTTCTGGGTCCAAAGTATATAGCAGAACTACAGACACGAGTTCCAGTCCACTGGACAGTCCAAACGAGTCATGGCCACAGAAGAAGAACTCCCTTTGTGAATGAGGATAAGTCTACAAAGGAAATCTTCGATGTTATCACTATGAATTAAAGTCGAAGAATAAGATTTTTTTTGCCTCCTAAACAAGGCGTAGTAAACGATACAGATGTGCAGACATTTCTTCAGTTCCAAGCTCTTATGGAAAAAGAAACAAATTCCGATTGCCCGGTAGCGCTCCTGGTTTTCCTAACATGGAGATGTACCCAGTTCGAGGGAATTCCCAGGATACAGCAGTGTTGCACGACAAGCTCTTTCTTAGTGCTAACACACTGACGCCCGCTTGCCGTCCCCCACAGCAGGAGGCCTTCCAGAGGCAAAGGGTGCAGGGAGCCCCCAGCAGGGGAAGAGGGCAAGAAAACCGCGAGGAAGTGGAGAAGTGGGGGAGAGGAAGCTTCCGTATCCCTGGGCAATGTCCTTCTGCAGCAAAATGAGGAGTCTCAGGGTCAGAGAACTCCATTGCCATGGAGTGGAATGCAACTCCTAGAGAGCCTACAGGACAGGGTAGAATTGTAATCTTTACGGAAGCAGATTGCCACATCTTTCTCCCTCAACAGCACCTTAGGGACCTTATTAACTCCAGAATTTTATCTTATTATAGCTAGCAGATGTTGGGCACGGTTTCATGGGGTATGTAAAGTAGGCAGGCTCTAAGTGGCTAAAAAGTCTGCTTATTAAAGCTGTTTTTTAAAACAACTGGATGTGTACAAATTTAAGTTTGGGGCCATAGGGCTTTTTTGTGCTCACAGGCCTCGCCTTGCTCTGAAGAAGCAACCTGGAGTCAATACTCAGAGGTCATTTTTAATTCATTTATGTAACAGGAGAAAGGTGTTCCAAAGGGAGTTTTCAGGAGGCAGATAGGAGGTGATTACAAATTGTACATTGTGCCCATGAGTCAGAACATGGTGGCCTTCCCTATGAGTCACAACTAAGTGAGCCTTGATAGGGCCTTGAGCACAGGTGGAGAGCCTTCCTAACATGCTAGAGACTTCCTCAGAGGCCTCACTCTGTCTCTCTCACACGCACACACAAATACAGAGGGACAGAAATCCACACAGTCAGGTGCTGTCCCTGCAGCCCCGCCAAGGACCTACTGATGAACTAGATTCTGCGTGTTAATCCTCAGCCACACCCCCAAGGGCAAGGTTCCCTCCCTTCCGTTCTAAGTAGCTGAGGAATACAGCTGGGCAGGCCCAGACAGACGTGGAACACAAAAAAGACGCCTGATTTGGCTTCAAGGGGTCGTCTACGAACAGTAAATATTATAACTTCTTGATTATATTACTCCTGATTATTAAAGATGTTGATGCTCCGTTCTAAGGAGGAGGCTTAATTTTTCAAATCAGGGAAGAAATGATTCATTTCATTTTTGCCAACTGACTCTGGATCAGGTCAGCCTTGCGATGGTACAGCTCCTATTTCAGGACAGCCAGCTGTTTCAACTTTCCTGTCAGGGAATCGTGACCTCAGCAACCGTATGGGATGCACAGATAGTCTCCTGGCGGCCCACAACTCGCCCATCAGTGCTGATGGCAGGGAGCCCAGGAGTAGGTAAGTCCCACCCTGTCCTCTCATAGACAGGCTACAAAACTCGGAAACAACTCTCTTCCTTAGAATGTGCCACTTCTGCACCCATTTGACCAGCCACCTACTTTAATGGCAAGGGGGCTGAATGAAGCATCGAGTTTCTGATGCCAAAAAAGGCATCCTAGACCGCTTTGTAGCTCGCCTAGCAGGAAAGATGTGTTTAACTGAGGGAAAACTGATTTTCCCAAGGAACCACTGGCGCATTCAAATTCAGTAAGATTCTTTAAGCCCTTGCCATAAACACATTGATTTTTTTTTTTTAGACATATCGAACCATTGAAAATAATTACAGCAATTCTAAAGTACTAGGACTATCATATTGCTTAAATTCAAGGGGCCTGCTGACCAATTAGGTGGCTTCACCTATTACTCTCCATGTAAATGGTTCTCAGAAGAGACTGCAAAAATAACGTGGGGGGGACTGACTTCTTAAACCCTAAAATTCTAAGAGGAAATTTATTTGTAGATAAAGTGTCCTCTTAGGTTGGGGCAAAAGGTGACATAATTTGGGACGATGAGAAAAGGAAAGGCTTTGGCCAAAGGTGCCCTTCTAAAGGGCTTGTGTTTGTGTTTAATCATTCTTTTTAATAAACACAGCTCCCAGTCAAAAGCTGCTTCTGAGACTTGTATGTAGGTTGGCCAGGCCTTTGCTCCGCTTCTGTCAGGCCGGCATGCAGAACAGACATTTTTAAATTGGTGCCACGCTGGTAATGGTTTTGACTTAGCTCCACTTTCAGTCACTAAAGCAGCAAACAGAAGAGGACCAGTTCAACCACCTAAGCAGGATCACGTGAAGAGAAGCAGCAAGTGTGAAAACTAGGAAGGCTTGCAGTGTAACTTTTTTTCTTTTTGATGGACTGCCAGTCTCTTCCAAATAGAGTCCCTGCTTTTGTGCCTCGGAAAGAAAAGTACACCACACCAAAGCCCAGGGGGATGTGGCTTTTTTTTGGGGGGGAGGGGTGTTAAGAGAAAAAAATATCATAAAAGAGTCAGAGACAGGGCCTGTCACTTCCATAAGCTCTCAACGTGCCAAAGGGAAAAGAACAAAACTTGTAACTCAGAACTCCCTCCCGGTCACTGTACCCCGAGAAGTCATGGTCCTCGCACTTGGAGCCAGGATGGGGGCCCTCACACAGAGGTGTTTACTCGGCCTTTTCAGCACAAAGACCCTACCGGCCGGCGCCCCTTAAAGGGCCAGGCCGGCGTGGCTCCACACTGCCCCCGGGTCACCGCCAGGTGCTCGCCCCACCTGGCGCCCCTTGCTGCCTTTGTGCCGCCCGCGCCGCCCCCGCCGGCGTGCCCCTGCCGGGAGGAGAGCCGCAGGCGCTGGCCGGGCCGCCCCCGGCGGAGGGGCGCCGAGAGACCGGCCTGCGATGCCCGCCGGAGGGCAGGGAGAGGGGGTGTCGTGAGCCGGCTCGGGCGCAAACGTCCCCGCGCACCAGGACCAGAGGGGACGCCGGCGGTTGCCCCCACCTCCGGAGAAAGGAGAAAAGGATCCCCTCCGAGGTCCGTACCCCTGGAACACAGATGCGCCCAGGCGACAGCTGGCACATAGTAACCCAGCCACAAAGTTTCGCGACGCAGAAAGCGACCTGGAAGGAAGTTTTCCTTTGCCCCTCACTCTCTCTCCCAGCCCGGGTTCGCGAAAGAGCAGGAAACAAGAGCTCGCGACGAGCCGGCTCCCGCGTCACCTTCCCCACCCCTGGCCTCGCCTGCACGCCCAAGGTGGGTGCCCGCGCCAGAGCTGCCTGCCCCATCTCAGGTCCTGCGTCCTGGGACGCGGCGCGGCCAACTCACCATGGTGACTCGCGCCGCGGTCGCGCCTCCACCCGGTCGGTCCGGCTGCCGCGGAGCTGGGGCCGGAACGCAGTCTCCTGGGAGAACTTCAAAAGTTGGTTCCCCTCGCCAAAAACAGGCTCCCGACACCCAAGCACTCACAGGAGCCAATGGGAACCCAGAGGGCACTCCATCCAGGCGGGCTCGGCGGCGCTAGGTGAGGGTGAGAGGGGGGCGATTTAGCAGGCGGGGCGCATCCTGCGCAGGGCAGGGGTCCACTCGGGCCCCGCGCTCGCCGTCTGACTAGGTGAGTGCGATGCGCTCGGCGCGTCTGCCTGGTTCCTCAGTCTCGCCCCTCTTTCTTCGGCCACTTACTCCGTACTCTTCTGCCTGCGCCTCGTCTCGGGCTGGGCAATCTGTCCATAAATGGAAAATTCAGCTCAGGCCTGACCAATCAGGGTTTGTTTTCATAGCGTCCCTCCTCCGGGAAATTGTAGTAGCCAACAAGCTTGGAGCTGCCGGAGTTCCCAAAGACCTCTGGATCCTGTAGTCCTCCTCCCCCGCCGACCTCCAAAGAGCGCTGCTGATCGTGGTTGCGAGACCTGAACTATTAGGAAGAAAATCCCCCGTGAGGAGTAAACCTCTCACCGTTTTTCAACGCTAAAATCAGAATAAGTTTAACTTCCAAGCTGAAGTGGCATGGTTTTTCCAGAACTTTCTTCCTTTTTTTTTTTTTTTTTTTTAGAAGAAGGAAATATTTTATCAGCATGAAAGATCAGAGTCGTGGCAGCAGCCCAAAGGAAATCCTTTTTCTTTCCAACGTCTGGGATTGTGAAGAAAGTCAAAAATATCATTTCCCTCACCCCTCCTTTTACCTGAATTTCCTTGGAAAACAAAGGAAGGCTTTTTTTTTATTTTTATTTTTTAACGTTTTGATGGCAGAGAATTTGCACGTGCAGTGAGCAGTGGGTAGGGGACAGGGAGAGGCAGGCGGGTGGGAAGAAAGCACCATCTAATCTCAGTCAACTATGTTTATCGAGAACAAGCAAAATTATAAAAGTACACCGTTCCAGAGTGTTGAGTTTCAAGAAATCAGGTGGAAGAAAAACAAAACAAAACAAACAAAAAAAAAGAAATCGGGTGGGCAATGAGGAGACTGGAGTGGGGAAAAGCAGACTCCTGAAATAAAGGTGCTGCTGGGTGCAGTGGAGTCTATTCCGACTCACAGTGACCCTATATGACAGAGTAGAACTGTTCCACAGGGTTTCCTAGGCTGTAATCTTTGTAGAGCAGATCACCAAGTGTTTTCTCCCTGGATGCCATTGGTGAATTCCAACCCAACCGCCACCTTTTTGGAGGGCTTAACCGTTGGGTCAGCAGGTAGGGAGTCTGAATTTATTGTTTGGGAAGCTTAGGAAGTAAATTTGGTGGGTCACAACAGAGGTGTCCTTGTGGAATCTGGGAGATAGCATTTGAAAACAAGAGGGCGTAGAAAAAGTATGAAGAATAATGACTTACTTTATGAACTTTTATTGTAGTCCTACACGTGAATATAGGATCACAGAGTTGGAAAGGATGTTAAAAATCATCTGTCTAGAATGGATAAACAAAATGTGGTCTATTCATACAACAGAATATTATTCAGCGATAAAAAGAAACGAAGTACTGATACATGGGGCAACATGGATGAACCTTGAAAGTGTGCTGCTGAATGAAAGAAGCCAGTCGCAAAAGGCCACATATTGTATGATTCCATGTATATAAAAGTCCAAAATCAGAGAATCTGTAGAGTCAGAAAGTAATTATTGGTTGTGAGGGCTTGGGGAGAGGTGAGGATGGGAGTGGCTGCTAACGGGCTGCAGCTTCTTATTGGAGTGACGAAAATATTCTGGAATTAGATCGTGGTGACATTTGTACAACTTTGTGACTGTATTAAAAACCACTGAATTGTACATTTTAAAAAGGTGCATCTTATGGTATATGCATTACATCACGGTTTAAAAAATTGAAAGAAAAGTATCTTGTCTACATTCTTTGCAAACCATTCACACAGTCGGGCAACAGATTTAACTGAGTGCCTGCCATAGGTGAGCACGGCTAACACAGATAGTCCCTGCCCTCACCAAGCTTGCAATTCTAGAAGTAAGTGATGGACCGGAAGCTAAAAAACAAACAATTGTAGGAAAGGTACGCATATAACGCAAAGGGACATAGTAGTTTTGAACAGAAACTGCCATGCTCAGAGCTGTGGTTTCAGTTAGGAAATTCACCTGGTTGCAGTGTGCAGTATGAACTGGAAAGGCAACAGTTGGGCATCTGTTGAGCACTCACTATGTGCTAGGCTAGGCATGACTCGCTAAATAAGACGCCAGGTCTTATTGGAGCATGTCAGCTGTCTTCAAATACTTCAAAACGTTGGCAGGTGTGCCGGGAACTGTCTTAGTTATTATCTAACGCTGCTGTAACAAATATCACAAGTGTGGCTTTAACAAACAGAAATGTATTTTCTCACAGTTAGGAGGCTAGGAGTCCAAATTCAGGGTGCTGGCTCTAGAGGAAGGTTTTCACTCTCTTTCGGCTCGAGGAAGGTCCTTGTCTTTTTTCAGCTTCAGTTTCTGGGTCCTTGGAAATTTTCATGTTGTATAGCATCGATCTTCCCCCATCTCTGCTTGCTTGCTTGCTTGCTTAATCTGCCCTTTTCTATCTCAGAAGAAATTCACTTAAAACACACTCTATGCTAATAATGCCTCATTAACATCACAAAGAAAACCCATTCCCAAATGGGATTACAACCACAGGCATAGGGGTTTGGATTTACAACATATATTTTGGAGGGACACAATTCAATCCATAAACGGGAACTAATGGACAGAGGTTCCAAAAGCAAAAGATGACCTTTGTGGTAACTCAAGAAACACTCCTCAGGCTATGTCGTTGTTGTTGTTGTTAGATGCCATCAACTTGGTTCCGACACATGGCAACCCTCTGTACAACAGAATGAAACACTGCCCGGTCCTGCGCCATCCTCACAATCATTGTTATGCTTGAGCCTATAGTTGCAGCCGCTGTGTCAATCCATCTCATTGAGGGTCTTCCTCTTTTTCATTGACGCTGTACTTTACCAAGCATGACGTCCTTCTCCAGGGACTGATTCCTCCTGATAACGTGTTCAAAGTAGGTAAAACGTAGTCTCGCCATCCTTGCTTCTAAGGAGCATTCTGGTTGTACTTCTTCCAAGATAGATTTGTTCATTCTTTAGGCAGTCCATGGTATATTCAATATTCTTCGCCGACACCACTATTCGAAGGTGTCAATTCTTCTTCGGTCTTCCTTATTCATTGTCCAGCTTTCGCATGCATATGAGGCAATTGAAAACACCGTAGCTTGGGTGAGGCACACCTTAGTCTTCAAGGTGACATCTCTGCTTTTCAACACTAAAGAGGTCTTTTGCAGCAGATTTGCCCAAAGCAATGCACCTTTTGATTTCTTGACTGCTACTTCCATGGGTGTTGATTGTGGGTTCAAGTAAAATGAAATCCTTGACAACTTCAATCTTTTCTCCGTTTATCATGATGTTGCTTATTGGTCCAGTTGTGAGGATTTTTGTTTTCTTTATGTTGAAGTGTAATCCGTACTGAAGGCTGTGATCTTTTATCTTCGTCAGTAAGTACTTCAAGTCCTCTTCACTTCCAGCAAGCAAGGTTGTGTCATCTGCACCACGCAGGTTGTTACTGAGTCTTCCTCCAGTCCTGATGCCCTGTTCTTCTTCATATAGCCCAGCTGCTCAGATTATTTGCTCAGCATACAGGTTGAATAGGTATGGTGAAGGGATACAAGACTGACACACACCTTTCCTGACTTTAAACCGTGCAGTATCTCCTTGTTCTGTTCAAACGACTGCCTCTTGATCTATGTACAGGTTCCTCATGAGCACAATTAAGTGTTCTGGAATTCCCATTGTTTCCAATGTTATCTATAATTTGTTATGATCCATACAGTTGAATGCCTTCGAATAGTTAGTAAAACACATATAAACATTTTTTTGCTATTCTCTGCTTTAAGCCAGGATCTATCTGACATCAACCTGAATTCCACATCCTCTTCTGAATGCAGCCTGAATTTCTGGCAGTTGCCTGTCGGTATATACTGCTGCAGCCACTTTTGAATGATCTTCAGCAAAATTTTACTTGTGTGTGATATTAATGATATTGTTCGATAATTTCTGCATTTGGTTGGATCACTTTTCTTGGGAATAAGCATAAATGTGGATCTCTTCCAGTCGGTTGGCCAGGTAGCTGTCTTCCAGATTTCTTGGCATAGACGAGTGGGCACTTCCAGCGCTGCATCCGTTTGTTGAAACATCTCAGTTGGTATTCTGTCAATTCCTGGAGCCTAGTTTCTCGCCATTGCTTTCAGTGCACTTGGGCTTTCCTTCAGTACCGTCAGCTCCTGATTGTATGCTACCTCTTGAAATGGCTAAACGTTGACCAATTCTTTTTGGTGTAATGACTCTGCGTATTCCCTCCATCTTCTTTTGATGCTTCCTGTGTTGATTAATATTTTCCCTATAGAATCCTTCACTACTGCAACTCGAGGCTTGAATTTTTTTTTTTTTTTTCAGTTCTTTCAGCTTGAGAAATGTAGAGCATGTTCTTCCCTTTTGGTTTTCTATCTCCAGCTCTTTGCACATGTTACTATAATACTTTACTTTGTCTTCTCGAACCGCCCTTTGAAATCTTCTGTTTAATTCTTTTACTTCATCGTTTCTTCCTTTTGCTTTAGCTACTCGACGTTCAAGAGCAAGTTTCAGAGTCTTTTCTGACATCCATTTTGGTCTTTTCCTTCTTTCCTGTCTTTTTAATGACCTCTTGCTTTCTTCGTGTGTGATGTCCTTGATGTCATTCTACAGGCTGGAAAGGGCAATTACCTAAGCCAGATCCTGTCCATAGTCAATTCTGATTAGTAGTTAGATTCAAGTGGACTTTAGGAGATACAGGCAAAGGCATAGCTGTTTTACCTACAGTTAACAACTAAACACTGAAACTCTCTAATAACCCATTCACAGCCTTTAAATCTTGGGTCCATCGAAAACTACCTGGAGCCTATTTGTCAATTGGTTTATCATTTGAGATTTTAAAAAATTACTTTTTAAAAAATACTTTCATTTGCTCTGCTGATCTCTTTCCAGTTTCAAGAGGTACATGGAGTTTTGATGAAGGTGTATGCTTGTGTTCATTTTTCACGGTTTTATAATATAGTCATTTTCCAGATTGAAATGTATATCTATGTCTAAACTTAGATTAGGCAGTGTTTTGTTCTGTTGTACATAGGGTCGCTACGAGTTAGAAGTGACTTGATGGCACCCAACAACAACGACGAACTTAGATTAAAAGGAGTCCCAGTGGTGCAACTATTAAGTGCTTGGTTGCTAACAAAAAGGTTGGTGGTTTGAACCCACTCAGCAGCTCTGTGGAAGAAAGACCTGGCAATCTGCTTCTGTAAACATTCCAGCCAAGAAAACCCTTTGAGCAGTTCTGCTCTGTCACATGGGGTTGCTTTTG